CACGTAGATGTTACGAAATTAAAAATGATTAAAATGGAAGCCCACTGCAGCGTAAGCCCTGGAATTGAACCATTCCGAGCGGCATCGGAAAGCAACTGCATTAACAATTAATACACTATACAGTTTCGCTTTGTAACCGTTGTAGCTTTGTTATTGAATTATTTTATGGCACGGTTTTTTTTTCTCTTGATTAGTTTTTGTTAGTTTCTTCTTTTAGTGCATAAAGTCATAATTATCGTTTAGCCTTTAATAATCCATTGCTTGAAAAAGGGCTCTCCTTTCAAAGGTTTTGGCCCACTATACCACGCTGGAGAGGCCTATGTCCAGCAGTGGACTATTATAAGCTGTTGATGTGATATCACGCTGGCCAGTCGGGTTGGTATAGGGTTTGTTTCACCTTTTCCCTTTCTTTGCAGTGTAGCTGTCCTGCGTAGTTTGCTCCCTTAAACTCCTTTTACGACACCCACGGGATGAATAGGGGTGGTGACACTCCGTATTCTTAATCCGTTACCACACGGACAGTACATAAAGTGGTAAACCTTAATGACAATGAATTATACTGCTTTTGATAAACTGTTTAACAATCTCAATAAATTATTTAAATAGTGTAGTAACATAATAATAATCGTACAAGTTATGTTTATCTAGCGGTGATCTAGGGTAGGTAGAAGACATCGCTTAGAGCCAACGAAAAGTCAAATAAGAATTAAACCAGAAGAAAAATGATTCTGGGGAGATTTACTTAAAGAGTGGTAATGTACTCATGACTCTTCAGTTGTGGGTGTCTATGGGTGTAGGTAGTCACTGATCATCAGATGACCCTTCTGCTCGTTTGCTCCCATAAGCCGTTCAAAATCTAACTCTTTGTTTCTATTGAATTCTTGACTGACTTATATAAAAAGTTTTATTACTGATACGAAATTAATGATACGACTGATATGAGATGTATATTAATATTATAGCAAATACTAGACAACTAAAAATAAGTACATTTAGATCAGTGAAAAACCAAGCGAAACAAAATAACTTTAGACACAAACCCACGAAATTAGAATTTATTTTAAATTAAAAAAAAAAAAAAAAATATAATTTGCCATTTTAACGTAACCAAAGCCGTTTGTAGCAAAAGGAAAAAAATTGCTACAAAAGATTATCCCGCGCGCCGTCGGCAGTATTATCTGTTTCAAAGTAACTTGAAGATAATTGGAATATCATTATGGAATATCTTATTAAATAAACAATACAAAGATAATATTGAAATCAAATCATAATTAAAGATAAACGCAGTTGATCGGGCTTAATTAATTTTTGCCCTCCCCTAAGTTTATATTAGATTATATTGTTTATAAGGTATTCATCTATGTAATGTTATCACAGTCTACAAAACAGATGATCTATCACTAGATAAATGTATATCTAAACTGCATATGTACAGAAGTCACATTTGTTAACATCTTCATATATCAGACATGGCGCAAATGTTTTTTTTTATAACAAAAAAATATAATAAAGTTAAATAAATTAATTAATACAATTAAATAAATTTCAATTTTAATTTTCTGATTGATTCTGATTTCTGAACAGTTGATGTTGGGAAGCTGTATATATGCTAATCGGCGAGTGAATTCTTCATATCGCGATACATTATTAGCAATTCTCATTCAGGAGTTACTCCGTAGTTCGGTGTGTCTCCGTTAGATGGAGCTGTAGTATGTTATGTAGGAGTCGCCACATCATTCCCCTCCAAGACCGGAGGTCGATATTTTGATGAGTCAGCTGGCTATGTCGAGGAGCGTGCCAGTGCCAGTAGTGAGTATTTAGTAGAGTAGCAGTAGAACGAAGACACACCGAACTACCGTTCCACGTGGAGGAACGGTAGTTCGGTGTGTCTTCGTTAGATGGCGCTGTAGGATTGTTTTTTGGCGACTTGTGGGAGTCGCCACATACACACTTTTTTTTAACTCAAATACTCGTATTAAAACGCGCAATTTGGCTAAAACACAAACACCCGCATTACACACAAAAATTACAATATGACAAATACTGCTATACTCAGCTTTACATCCAATCGAAAATGAAATACCATAATATTTTACTTTCAATTTACAAAAGAAAAAGTAATGACCCTTGAATAATAATGATACTTATGCTTCAAGCAACTTTTTCCCTTTCCAGAATTAATTTTAGTCTTAGATTGGTAAAGGTTAAACTTTAAAAGGATTTTTGTGTTTTTATTTGGCTAAAACTAAAACATCTAAATGTTTTATAGAAATACGGCAGGAATGCACAGAATCCGCGGGATAAGCCCCTTTGTACGCCCTGCGAGTTTTAGATCGTCTGCAAAAATATTTCGTCTTTGTGTTGAGACAAAGGGGTAGTGATTCTAGACATAAATGTAAGTAGTTTATCGTCAAGTGCCTACTTCATTTTGAAAAGAAACAACATAATATGTTTTGGGTTCAGAATTGACATGTTGTGCACAAATAAGTTTGGCAAGTTTTAATTATGATTTTCTAATTTTCTATATAACTATTTTCTTTTTTTTATGTTCTACTGGCTTCGTTCTCTGCTCCATGTTTTACACTAGAGATTTCAACCTCAAAAAAAAGTAAACTAAATTTTCTCTTGAGTTTATACTTCATGAATCTTTTGTGTTACCTTTATCCGAATTTCTATACACAAAATGTTTTATTCATGTAAATATAGCCGTATGGATTTATATGTCACGACTAACATGAAATTCTTATTTTAAGAATAATGACATATCAACACCTTTACACCACGCCAAACCAAATAAGATGTTCAGCTACTGTGAAATTGAAATATGTTACTCGAAACATAATTCGATGTTCAAGAGAAATGTGTTTTTGTTATTATTTATTAGGGTAAGAAGATAGAGTTGTAATCACATTTCTTTACTTGTTTATACTTCTTGTAATTAAATTGCGTACACAGTCTGCCCAAGCACTGTCTATATCACATTTTGAAAAAACCTTTAAGTAATTTCTGGTTTAAATATTTATAGTAAATTTATTCTGATAAAACTTAATAAGATTTAAGATTTAAAAGATAGTTAATGTTAAGTTACCTGTAGCGATGATGTAAAAGGATTTTTAAGCTTTACACAGAATAGATTGATACAAATAAAAATACTATTTAGTTTAGGGAGTTACTGTAGCATCTTTAAAAATTAAAGTTATGTAAAAAAAGAACCGATCAGTGCTGTAAGACGTTTCTTTTTGACAAATTTCATGATTCTAGGTCAACGGGAACCTATAGAATTTAAAACCTATAGAAGTACCCTATAGGTTGACATAGAATTGTCAATTTTGGTTAAAAGCACAAGTTTCAAAGAGAAAATTCTAAAAAATAAAAAAGTTGAAAATTAAGGTAAATTTGGTACTTACAAGTTTGCGAAATTTGCCCATATCTTTGTATCGTATTGACTCAGGACACCGTATAGGGACCATAGAGTACCAGTATAAATAGTCAATCATAATCAATCAATAATCAGTATAGTATCTGGTATAAATTTCAACTTGCTAGGTCTACCCGTTCCTGAGAAAATCGGTGGTGACACACGGACAGACGGACAGTCGGACAAGAAAGTGATCTTATAAGGGTTCCTTTTTTACCTTTTGAGGTACAGAACCCTGAAAACTTCAGAATTAACATTATCATATTTCAACTAACATTTATAATTACTCCTGATTGCTCAAAAACAAACTTTATGAGTATTCAGAAAGATATAAATTTAAATATAAAAAAAAATCGCAATTAAACAAAACAAAAAATATGAGGATCAAATGCAAAATGACATTCATCCTACAATATGAACGTATTTCACTCTAAACAGGATGAAATGGGAACCGATAAATAAAATGGACAATGCAGAGAGAATTCATTACTTAGGTAGGTATTAAATCAAAATTCTGTCGTAAATGGATATTTGTGATACTGACGTACTGTGCTAAAAATATTTCTTTCTCATTATGTCTGTATAAAATGAGAGAATATGACCTTTGTTGTCTTAATTTTGTTCGTGGTATATGGGCCAAAAGTCGACCTTACCAATTCGGATACCCAGGTTATCAATTCGGATGTTTATATGTTTTTTACGTATGCTCGGGCATAACTTCGTCAAATTATGTAGACGGATTTTCAAAATTCTTTTTTTGTTCGAAAGGGGTTTATTCCGCAATGGTCATGGTAAATTTCATATAAATCTGATGATGACTTTAAGAGATAGACAACGAAACTCTTCTAAAAATGACAGCAAATCAACCGCCGCTTGCTGCTAGGTTTTTAGTGCTCTTTGTTATACTAAACACTAACTGTTTTAAGTCGGTTCAACTTTTTTTTTAAACTAAGTGCTATATGGGTTTGTTTATTTATTATAAGTATTCATTTAATATAAATACGAATATTTATACGAAAACATAGTCATACAAAGTGTAAATATGTATGTGTAATTATGTAGTGTAATATTAGGTTATATACGGAAATTTTAAATGCGCTCCACACGCTACATGATACTACATAGTATAGTCCATGTAAAGGTTGCCTGGAAGAGATAGCAGACTGTGACAAGGCCGGCCATTGTTTTGTTTGTATTCTACATTGTATGTATCCTTATCATGGTGTGCAACTCTCTGCTCTTAAGCAACTCTACAACTGACTCAACTAGAGCACAAGTGCGCTGCCTGTCTCTTTAACTCTCAATATAAGACACGTTTAAGTACAAAACAACATTCCTTACTTGAATATACAGAAACACTTAACCAACGATGAAGTTATCCAGAGTTTGTGTATACCTATGTTATACGATAAAATAAATTTATAAATAAAATCATGTATAGATTTGTAATCAAAATTTCGAAGTAACACTTTATAGTCATGTTTTTTTCAGGAAAAAACTACAATAAAACAAAATTTAAACAAATATCACTATTTTATTTTACATCGCTAATCTATCCTATTTACAGCTGGGTCAATTATGTTTAAGGCGCGTCGTCTCCTCGAAGAGGAAGATACTGATGACGTCTACTTGCCATAGGTCGAATGAAACGTTTCGGATACATCGACAATGAGTCCATTGATGACCTTGACTGGGCTTCATGTAAGTTTGCGGCACTGAATGGTACAGGGGTCACTGAATAGCCAGCTGCTACCAAAGCTGCAAACTCTTCAGGAGTATACGCCTTATTGTTTTTAGGGGGAGGCAGGCGCGCTCTTTGTTCTTCTAAGGTCTGACCGTGTTGTTCAATGTTTACTTGGTCATAATGTGGTTGTACTGGCTGATCAACTTTTGTGCTCTGTTCTCTATATGGTTGAGGCCTTGCTAGTTTTCTTGGAACTAAGTTTTTACTAACATAAATGGTAGACTGTGCTGGCTTTGATGATTCAACTCTTTGTTCAGGTTTAATTTGCATAGGCATCTCATACCGTGGTCGTTGTTCATTTCCTCTGTATACTGGACGAAGATAATATTGTTGATCCCCAATAATTTGAGTATTCTGAGGTAACCCTTCAGCGATGATAGGGTCATAAATTTTGACAGATCGCATTTTTTCGTATTCAGGAAAACGTTTCAAATAGGTGACGGATCTTTCAACGCTTTGACTTGGTTGACGCTGTTCTTGTGATCTCATTGCTTGTCTGGGTGCCTCAAGAATTCTGTATTGTTTAGGCTGAGCCTCTGGTTGGTACTGAGCCAAAAGCCTATAGTTTGGTTGAGCTCTGGGTTGCTGTGGCTGTAACTTGGGAGCAGGAACAATTTTCAGTCCTTGCGATTCTGGATGTTCATATAGTACTTGCTGTGAGACTTGTTGAGCCTGAGGAATTGATACATAACGTAAAGCCTGTGATGCTCTTTGTGACTGAGGAGCTGGGCGGTATAGTGGTGATTGTAGCTGAGATTGTTGCTGTGTCTGCTGTTGCTGAACGTTTGTAGTTTCAATCAAATACTGTTGAGGAGCTGGTGATGGTTGAGGTGGAGTTGATTGTGCTTTGTTGTGAACCTTGGATTTTTTGCTTGGCTTGGAAATGTATCTGTCCACCTGAAATATTCAAACAAAATCAGTTAATGAACTACTCCTGAAATTGTTAGGCATTCGAAAAACTTATAATTGATATGAAACTGATACTAAAATCGAAAATTGATATGTGATACCATCAAGTGAATTATCTGCACAATTAATGACAATATAAAGTGACATAAACTTTCCAAAAAAAGAAGAAATATTAAAATCTTGTAACTTTGCCACATAGTGGACATTACTTAGGCTATAAATACTCGCACTGAAGCATATTTCTGTAATATATTAGTTACACGTAAAAATATAAGGACTACCAATAAAGGTCTTTAAACTGAATACAATAGTTACATATATTAAATCATCATCAAAAGCCTCTGATAGTAAATTGCTGGGCATAGTCCTCTCAGAGGCCTATGTCCAGCAGTAACTCTAGGAGTTTTTGGCCTAATATACCACTGGCTAGGCGGGTTGGTATAGGGTTTGCATCTACTTTTCCTTCTCTTTGCAAAGCTGTTGTCCTAGCCAACGGTACCCACGGGATGAATATTGGTGGTGACACTCCGTATTCTGTGCGGATGATATATTAAATATCAATTCACAATGTCTAAATTTGTTCAGTGTGAATATACCTGTTGATATTGAGGTGCGACACTCTGAACTGTAGAGGCTTGCTGAACCGGTTGTGCACGCTGCGCTGGTTGTACATGTTGTGCTGGTTGGGGTTGGGAGTATGAATGTTGACGAAGTTCTTCCTGTCGCACAGGTGATTGTCCCAGTAGAGCAAATAGGTCCTGGTTGTAGACATCCCTGCTGCTGGCGCCATTATCACTGACCGACAATGCAGCGCCCACTGAAGCTTCACCACCATTGGAAGTGTAGTCAGGTCGGGCAATCACGGCGTGCGAGGGCTGAAGCGCCACCTTAATAAATCAAGCACACAATAGGTATAGGAAGATAGGGTATGCGTTATAAAGGCTCGAAACAAAAACTGAAAACTATGTTTGTTGAAAATATTGAATTCCAGTTAACAATGTAGAAACTGAAATGATACTTTCATCGAGAGAAGAACGTGGTGCAGTTTATGAATTTGAAGTACAAGAAAGAATATTGATAAGATGATTTAAATATCATTTAAGTAATTTATTTTTCGTAGCTTTTATTGAACAGCAATTTACTCTACTTGACAGCTTTTTTATATGATGTGCTCACACGATAACATTTTTACTTAAAATTTTTTTTAGAGCGCTCATTTTTTCTCATTGATATTTTTTTTAATGTTTTGTTTTTGTTTTGTTTTGAAAAAGACAACTCCCGCATTAGGAATGTATCCAGTGTAGCGGGGGACTTAAGAAACATACATGAAATGGACACAAAGAACAACAATTTGTGGAGCACACAAAGTGTCGTCCCATGTGGGGATCGAACCCACAACACTCAGCGTAGTAGGAAGCGGCATGGCGACCGCTTAAACCACTACGTTATCCATGCGGTCAAAAGTAAGAAGTATGTTAAGGTTGTTTGATGAAAAGAAACATTACAATGACTAAATATTTACCTGACGTCCTCCTTGATCGAGGTAGTAAATTTGTTGAATGTTTTGATTGTGTTCAGGTTGCGGATTCGCATACAGCTGTTGCAGCAACTGGTTGCTAGAGAGAGGTGCTTTTCTTTCTGGTTGCAATTCCAATAATTCTCGAGCGTTCACAGAAATTACTTGTCCCGGACGATATTCCTCGGAGTCAGATCGACTGAAATGGAAAATAATTTGAATTTGAACTGAGCACGTTTTAGCTTTTGGATGTTACAAAGGAATGTTAATTGTGCTTTAAAAAAGATATATCGCAACTGATGTAGTAAAAATTTAATGCTTCCCGCACTGAACTTTTACGCAGCTTATTTTTTAACACTGCATGGTTTCTCGCTTTTCTTATTCGATGATTATATTCAGAATACAGGAACCACCTTAGGAAGTGGTCTGCGGGGACGATTTTGGGGAATTCATCGCCCAAACAGGAGTGGCGGAAGAATGCAATTCACAAGTTTCATTGAATCTGTTCATTCTAAGGAATTACTGACTTAGGATAGAAACGTTGACGATTTGTATCAGGCGGATTTTCTGCTTCATTTTCAAGAATCATAAAAGGAACATAAAAAGTTTAATTAGTTAATAACCTGTTGGGCTTGTCATCCTCTTGCAATTCTTCAACAGGTGCTACTGGCTCCTAAAACAAACAATACGAAAGTATAAATAAAAAGAACTACTTCAATCCAGTTGAATATAACGTTTATGAATCAGTTTATGCCAACTCACAATATTTAATACTGCCTTTTTAGAATGATTACCTATAATCATTGCTGAAAATTGTAAATCAGCTTAATCCAAACGATACATATATTTTGTTTAAAAACCAAAGTACCCTCATGGATTACCTCATAGTCCAGGACGATTTTCAAATAAAAACATAGTGTAGGACTTCCCAGTACTAGACGTCCTGATTGAACTCAAAGTAGCAGAAAGCCATTGTATGAAAGTAATATTTTTTCTAATGTTCCTGATATGGTGACGATAACCCGACCTGGCAACAAGCGGTTCATATTCTGCCTAATTACTTGTTCAATTTTTTCATACTTTATTAAATAAAGTATTAAATTAAAATTGGCCAACACACAGACTACAACAACACAGTCGGCCACTAAAACCTCTTTCTATACAATGAAGCTGAAGTTTTAGTCAGGATATTAAAATAATAATATTTAATAAAACTACATAAAAAATAAAATACAGCACATAGCAATCACGATATAAATGATTTTTGTAGGTTAAACGTTTCTCCAAACAAGGAAACAGTTGAACAATCGGTGCTACTCCCACAAAATTAGCTATTTGACAAGAGTTATTTTAACACAGTCCATAATTATGTATTACATTAGATGCAATTACTACAGTGAAAGCTAAGGAAAACAAGACAATGCCGGCAATTATTGAACTATTTCGTCACACAAACCCCTTCTGTGACGAAATTGGTTGCGTCAATCGTCCAATTGCACAACACGTTGGACAATGGATATACACGAATCAGGCTACTTTTGTGCGTATAGAATTAAATGAATAAGAAATAGCTTTTTTAGTCTGTAACTACTAATGCATGTATGTAATTACACTTAAAGGTTTTTACAACACTTCTAATGGTGTGCAAAATCAAGAGCTTTGTTCAATGTAGGTAAAACTATGTGTTACTAAAAGATTGACATGAAAAATTGGATTGGTATCTGTATTTTACTTCCCATGACGTGACACATTCGTAAATTATGTACACTTCATAAAAAATAAACAAAGAAAGTAGTTTTCATACAAATGCGTTAGCGTCATAATATAATTTAGCAACACAAATACCTAAATTTGATGGTTTTACTTTTACCGAATTAGAAGACTTGCCGAATTGCTTCCACCAAAAGAGGACAGCTCTGTTTAGCAGTGACTAATGACTTAGCTACGCTAATTTGAATTGAATGTGACAGACGCTTATCAAGATTACTAACAATAGCCCAGTGAAAGCATAACTCTAAAATGTATTGTAGGTGTTGAAATCATGTCATGAGAAAATATGAATTCTGATCTTATCCTCTGTGTGATAAAATAAAAAAATAAACGTTTTTAAAAACATGTATGACTTATTTAAAAAATGATCTTTATCTTGAATAAACTGATAAAACACATTTAATTGAGTTACAATACTATTTCATTCCTATAATGCTCTTCGTTGCAAAATAGCCAACTGCGTCGTAGATAACGTGTTATTATACAGTGCAGTTACAATCCAAATGGCTAGCCTATTATTTCGCACCCTGAGTAATGTGCCGCAATCGCTATTAAAATCGTATTATAGAAGCTAGAACGGATTAGTAACAAATTTCACAAAAGCTTGTTCATTGTTCCGTGGTAATGACATGGGTGTCAATTATAGATTTGTAACTCTACTTCATCTATTTAGGATTAAGTTTGCTGTAATTGACCAATTTTATTAAGATTGACAGAGGTCCTTGAGTCAATATCTGACTGATTGTACTGGTCAGACTGAATTGTGTCAATTAAATTGTTTTTACGCTTTACAAAATGTTAAAATCGTGTAAGAACTTAAAAGTAACACGTTTAGTAGTTTTAATGTTAGCAAAAGAAAAACACTTTCCAAGATTGCTAAAAATAAATTAAATTGCTAACTTTATTATAATTACGTTATAACATCCTACTTTTTTCTAATAAATTATTATTTACTTTGAACTGTTATAATCATATAACCATATTTATAATATTTATGAATATTTTTATTTATTTTAAAATTATTATATAACTTATAAAAGTATCCATTTCACGATATCATTTTTATTTAATTTTAATAATAAATCGAATACATTTCATTAGTTCTTAGGCAGCTTATTGTAATATTTGATTAATATAACACATTGGACAAATGAATTATTAATAGTAAAGCAAGAGTTACAAACTAAAATGAGTAACAAATTAGACAATATGAAATAAGCATGAAATTAACGCAACAAGTGACTCACTGAGATAACTAATTAAATCCAGTGTGAGAGATTACACACATTACATGTAAATAAATACGCATATCCACTATAAGCAACAGGATTTTAGGAAGTTATTAGATATCGTTTGGGGTGTGAGGGGCGAACCACCATCTTTCGCCCCAAGCCAACCTCACCTGCCCGCGGTGCATCCTGCTGAACGACGAACGAGGCTCTGGCGACCGACCGATGGCGGTATATCCATCCCAATAGGCGTAGCTAAATACAACAGGCCGGTGACGGGCAGCAGCGTTACCGGTGCGACAAGCTACGCCCTGCGATCGCCAACCCGCCTGCCCAGCGTGGCGATTATGGGCAAACCCCTCCCATGCAGACGCAACAAAGGCCACGGCCCCCAGTTCCCGGCGGCCCCGCTATTCCTGGTCATGGTGGCGACCTCGGTAAAGGCGGGGCAGGGGGTGCGAAGAATCTCCGGGCTACGGGAGGCCACCACAACCGACTGACCCTGGCTACGTACAACGGACGCACGCTACGGCTAGACTCGCATCTGGCGCAACTTGAGGTGGAACTTGGGAAGATTAGGTGGCATATCCTAGGGCTATGTGAAGTCCGAAGAGAGGGGGAGGACACCATAACCCTCGAGTCAGGCCACCTAATGTACTTCCGCGAGGGAGACCAACAATCCCAAGGTGGGGTTGGGTTTCTGGTAAATAAGTCCCTATCTGACAACGTTGTGGAAATTTCCAGTGTGTCGAACAGGGTAGCGTACCTCATTATCAAGCTCACCGAGAGGTATAGCCTCAAGGTTGTGCAAGTGTACGCACCGACCTCGGACATTCGGACGACGAGGTGGAGGATATGTACGATGACATATCGAGGGCCCTCCACTTCACAACTAAGACCCACTACAACGTTGTTATGGGTGACTTCAACGCTAAAGTGGGAGTACAGAATTGCGGCGAATCGGTAGTAGGATCCCATGGATTTGGAAGCAGGAATCATAGGGGGCAAATGCTGGTCAACTTCCTCGAACGGGAGGGGCTGTTTTTGATGAATTCTTTCTTCAAGAAACAGCCCCAAAGGAAGTGGACGTGGCAAAGCCCCGACGCTATGACCAGAAATGAGATCGATTTCATCATGACGGATAGAAAGCACATATTCAGAGACGTCTCAGTGATCAATAGGTTTAATACCGGTAGTGATCACCGACTTGTCCGGGGCTCTCTGAATATCAACTTTAAGGCGGAACGTGTCTGTTTGATGAAATCCAGGCTCCGACCAACTCGGCTCCAAGCCATGACAGGATCTGAAACGTTCCAGTCAAAACTGGAAAACCGATTCGCTGCCGTGGAAACCACAATCGACGTAAACCAGAACCTCAAAAATGTGGTTCAGATCCTCCGGGAAGAAGGTATGAGATTTTGTGAAATGCAGCGTAAGGGCAGGAAGTCGAAGCTTTCAGAAAGGACCCTAGGGCTGATGAAGAAACGACGTGAAAACCCACCTGTCACTTTGTCGGCAAAGCGGACTCTAAACCGAGAGATCAGTAAACTCGTACGACACGACCTCCGGTGCTCCAATACTCTTTCAATTGAAAGAGCGATCGAGCAAAATCGGGGGTCAAAAGTGTTCGTACAATCTCTTGGAAGAAGCCACCTGACAAAGTTGACTACAGAAAGTGGAGAAGTCGTTGCTTCGAAGCCGGCAGTCCTTTTGGAAGTGGAAAGCTTCTATGGCCGGTTATACGCTTCGCATGCATCTCGACCTGATCCCGAAAATGAGGACTCTAGAGCCACATTAACACGTCACTACACCGAAGACCTGCCAGAAGTTAGCATTGACGAAATCGAGATGGCTCTTGGACAGCTGAAAAATGGAAAAGCCCCTGGAGAGGATGGCGTTACAACAGAGCTGCTGAAGGCCGGGGGTAAACCCGTACTAAGGGAGCTCCAAAAGCTCTTCAACGCTGTCCTGTTTGAAGGGAGAACTCCAGAAGCGTGGAGTAGGAGTGTGGTCGTCTTGTTCTTCAAAAAGGGTGACAAGACCAGGTTGAAGAACTATCGACCCATATCCCTTCTAAGCCACGTCTACAAGCTGTTTTCGAGAGTCATCACGAACCGTCTTGCGCGAAGACTCGACGAATTCCAACCACCGGAGCAAGCTGGGTTTCGGAGCGGATATGGCACCATAGACCACATCCACACAGTGCGGCAGATTATACAGAAGACCGAAGAATATAATCAGCCCCTGTGTCTAGCATTCGTGGACTATGAGAAAGCCTTTGACTCGATCGAGATCTGGTCTGTTCTGGAGTCCCTGCAGCGTTGCCAAGTAGATTGGCGATACATCAAAGTGATGAGATGTCTCTACGAAGCCGCCACCATGTCCGTCCAAGTACAGAATCAGCAAACAAGGCCCGTACCATTGCATCGAGGAGTGAGACAAGGGGACGTTATTTCCCCGAAATTGTTCACAAATGCAATGGAGGACATGTTCAAGACGCTGCACTGGAAAGGGCGTGGCATCAATATCAATGGCGAATACATCTCTCACTTGCGATTTGCAGATGACATCGTCATCATGGCAGAGACGTTGCAGGACCTACAGCAAATGCTGAATGACTTAGCTGACACTTCTGTACGCATCGGCCTACGGATGAACTTGGATAAAACCAAGG